TGGTGCAGTAAACTGTCAAGAGAAGAGTGTCAGGATGTATTTCAAATATTGGTACACAAGAAAGTGTATTGGCACCGATGTGCAAAAGAGGGCTGAGGAGAACCTTGAATTATTCTCTGACATGTCCAAAAACCTGTCCTGTACAACAATGGTTTTCAAACTGTGGGCTGTGAGAACCATAAGGAAAATGTTTAATCTTTTATTTTATTAAAAAAAAAAGCTGAGGTTATCTTTGCCATCATTGGCTGTATTTGTGTGTGCATATATACATATCATGGTTTAAATGCATTGAACGTGGTTGTTGTTTTTTTGGGGGCGGGAGTATTACAGAGAATAAAAGAGGTAGGGCACAACCTAAAAAGTTTGAGAAACTGCTATACAAATGGGTGTTAAAATTTGTTAGAATTTACACATGCATTAATGACTGTGTTTTTGTTTTTGTCTGTAATAACAAAAGAAATCAACTGAGCAGAACTTTGTAATGGTTTAAAAGGAACAGTCTTTTACTTCTGGTTTTCTTATTAACAGAAAACTTAAATGTACATAAATATTTTATTTTACTCCATTTTTTACACTTGTTTCAGACAAGCCAATAATGGATATTTTTTTTGTACAGAAAAAATGTCCAGTATATAATTACATGTTTATACTTTATACATTCCATAAATTTGCCCATTAGTTACAAAACTAATTATCAAATGGGGTTATTACTGATATGATAGAAAAATGAACATCTTTTTTTTTTCTGTATAAAACGTAGTTTCAAAATGCAAGATTTTTTGGAGTATTCTGATCATCCAATAGTAATTGCAATATGATTTGGAATTTTCCTCTTTCTGTAAAATACATTTATATTATCACATATTTAAAAAAGTGGTCATTTTTATCGTCTTATTCTCCTAATTTAAACTTTATACACTTGCATTTCTGACTCTTTTTTTTCTTTTTTTATGCTACAATGGTATAAGAAGTTTGTTTATTCACTTGTATTTTTGTTTTTCTTAGTTCTCACAGGAGACAAGATTTATGTTCTTGATCTGGCTGCTAAATTGGATGCCACTGCAGAGTTTATCTGTAAGCAGAAATGGGGAGACATTGAATTTCCCCCACCATTTGGAAGGGATGCTTTTCCAGAGGCAAGTTTACCATATAAATTACATATTCAATATGTGTTTATATAAAGAAAGATGTAATTATATTACATTTTAACGTACATGGGTGTTTTGAGGAACAAACTAATATTTTACTATGCTTTAGTGTCTTTTCAAATATTTCATTACACATTATTGGTAAGACAATGGGATATGACTCTTGTATGAAAAATACACTTTGTGTCATTAGCATTTCTAGAGGTTATTAGGTTTTTAGTGCTGACATGGCTGGTTTCTGAAAATACCGTTAACTTTGGTATTATGCCTTAAAAATGCTACTTTGTGTTGACCTTGATGCTAAAAAAAGGAATTATATTTACTGGCTTTAGTCTGTTTTAATTGGTGTATCAGAACATCTAACTGTACAAAATGTTACTTGTGCTTATGCAAGCCTAATAAAATTAGGCTTAAAAATTCCACTAGTCTTTTCTAAGAATTTTGTATTGATTGAAGTATATTGTAGTCGGCTCCAAGTTTTTTCATATATTTATTATTAAATGTACATTCTAAAACTCTACATATCAACTCACCCAATTTTGACTTTAAAAAACTAACCAGACCAGCTTTTTTGTTGTGTAACTTGGCAATTCCTGTTGGAAATTTTACAATATTCAACAGAGTATTGTACAGTAGGGGTTCATTAAGAAAATGCAAGATTTATTATACTTGTAAAAAGGATCCCAAATGCTTACTGAAAATTTTTCAAAGTTACAAAAAGGTCTACTAGAGTAGCGGTATGTTTTCAAATATATGGAGAAAATTTGCCCATAAATACCCATTTATTAAACCAGACCTGTTAAAGTTTAGGATATCAAAGATAATAGCAAAGAGCTTGAATCTATTTAGGTTTCTATTAGCAGATATTAGTGTGAATTTGTTACAGACCACCAGATAATACGGATGAAATTAGTGAGAAACTTTACAATGAGATGAAGATTTCAGCTGTTAATGAGTTGGACAAATAAATAGCAAATAGCTTTTAATTATAATAAATCCAAGATAATGCATGTGGGTTATCATAACTTGAATTACAAGTATAATTTGGATGGGAATAACAGTGTCATGAATGTAAAGGATCTTGGTGTAATGGTTGATCAGTCTCTTAAGCCATCCAAACAGTGTGCTGTTGCTAGTGGTAGGGCAAGTAGGATTTTGGGTTGTATCTACAGAAATATTGAATACAAGTCTAAAGAGGTTATAATTTCATTTTATAAGTCACTGGTTAAGCCACATTCGAAGTATTGTGTTCATTCTTGGGCTCCTTATCTTAGGAAAGACATTGAATTGTTGGAAAGGGTTCAGAGAAGGGTTACTAGAATGGTGTCTGAGATAAAGAAGATGTCATACGAGGAGAGGTTGAAATCTCTCAAATTGTTTTCTCCTGAAAAAAGAAGAGTTAGGGCAGATCTGATTAAGGTGTTTAAGATTGTAAAGGGAATTGATTGTGTTGATGCAGCTATTTTTTTTTCATATTTAACAGTGAGAATAAAAGGACTAGGGGCCAAAAATATAAATTTTAATGAGGTAGGAATCATCTTCAGCTAAGACAGTTTTATTTTTCTAACAGGGTGGTTGGTCTCTGGAATGGAATGCTTTCGGGTGTTATGGAGGCAATAAATTTAAGTGAGTTTTAGAGAAAGCTTGATAACTATATGAATGATAAGGGCTATCTTTAAGATTTTTTTAAATTTATTTATTTAACAGTTTTTAATTTAGAGAATGGGACAGCTGAGATAGACCAATAGCTCTCTTGTTGTCCAAAAAAAATGTTATTCCTTTTCGGGAGATAGATCGAAGTCGCAACTTCAGTTATACTTATAGTCATGCAGGGATATCCAACAAGTATTGAAAAGAAATGGATAACACAGGTTCACACTAGTTGTCTTTTTCCCACCTTTATTTCCAACTGAAAAATGGATGATGTCATACTGAATCTGCATTTTTCCTTCTAGTTTTGTGATTTGTCAGTACTGGGATTCTTGTATACCTAAAGTACATCTTACATCATGTATTAAAAACTACTGAGAACATGATCACAATGCAAAAAATATCTATGTGTATGTGTACAGTACTGAACTAATGTTAACTTTTAGAAATTACAGCACAAGGTGGTGAAGCTTAATGTTAAAGCAAATGATATGCTTGGCCAGATGAATTGTTATTCTTAATAAGGGTAAAACTGGTCTGCCCCCCCCCATCACTTCCTTTCCCCATATCACAAATACCTCCAAAATCTTGGGGCCAATTATTAAAGGTTTCAAACTTTTAATTTCTCTACATAATAAAACCCCTGATTGTAACATGATAATTGTACAAGTTCGTCATCTACCAAATTTCACTTTCCTATAAAACTACAATGTAATGGCACTAAGAACTTCTACAATTGCAGTGAAATGAGTTTTTTGTTTAATTAAAAATTATTACATTGTGTTACACTTTTAACATTTGTAGAACTATCTCCATATTTGTACCAAATCTCAAATGTTTCGAAGTTATTAAGGTTAGAAAAAAATTAGTCTATTTTCTTGAAATAGCAATATCAATGTGGCTGCAGTCAGCTGCATAGCATTATTCAAAAATCAGTCATTGTGCCAAAAATATTTGAAATTATAATGATACTTTTCAAGCTATGTCAGAAACTTGCAACACGATAGTAATTTTTCTTTTTTTACTCTAGATTTAAAAATGTCCTGAAAATTAAATAACACTATAATGTGTGATTGTTTTTATGCATATTATAAGTAATAATGTATCTATGAGAGAGATCTAGTTGACTTTACGTAATCTATTAAAAAAAACATTATGACAATAAAATATAATAATAACTAGACCAAACTCATAGTATTTAATTGCTTAATGAAGCTAATGCAAAATTCGTTTAATTTTTTAAATGTCATTTATTGTAGGAGGCTTATATTGCTGATCTTGATGCAAAAAGTGGAGCTTCTTTGAAACTTACAATAATCAATAAAGATGGACGTATCTGGACCATGGTTGCTGGAGGAGGAGCTTCAGTGATATACAGGTGTGTAAATATGTAAATAAGTATTAGTGGCAAAAGTTTGTTATAGGTTTTTTCAAAGTTAAATGTTTTGAGAATCTGCTTAACCCTCTTCAGACGGGTCACAGGTCAAAGGCCATGTCATCTCGTTTGTTAATATGCATTCAAAGATTATAATTCAAATTTAGTATTAAACATTATTTAATTTGTTAATTTGAAGATAAATATTAAAAAAACACCGTTAAACATTGATTTTTTTGTGTGTCACATGGTATGTTGAATGCAGCATTGGTTCAGATTAGATGTTTGTGATGTCAAAGTACTGAATCTATAGTTTCATACGAATTAGGAACTCAAATTACTGATATTGACAAGCTTGAATATAAAATAAGAACCTCATATCCTTTCTATATGTTGAGATATCACTCATGTACTGAATCAAACATGATGGCCTTGCTCATCTCTTGTATACGGTCCCTTGTATACACTTACTTCAATATATAACATGATTAACCAATCAAAAGCTTAGAATGTCCCCCTAGTGGCTTTCCCAGACATTTTTATATGTTAAGACACCATCTCGTTCTTTCGAATCAAGATTTCAAGGAGGTAGGTTGTGTCATTAGTCTGCTTGAAATTTCCAATCTTTTTAAGACCCAAATACAGGTTAGTTACTAAGCTTCATTAATTATAGTGCAATTCTATGGTATTGATATAGCAATTTATTATTTTTTGGCTATTCAACTGTATATGTAAAACCTAAAAAAAATTATTTTGTTTCCTACCCTCAGCTTGCGAAATTTTAAAAGGCTTAGTAACTTGCGTCAAGCAGCAACTAAGTACAAAGATCATAACTAGAAGAGATAATTGTTTGCTTTAATTCTTTATTTACTGCTCTATGTTTTAAGAAAAATATGTTTAAGAACTTACTTCTAAATAGTAATAATCTGTATACACATATAATGTAGAATAATGGAAATGTTACTATATTTTACAAAATACTAGTCTACTAAAACACAGCCATGTGTGCCACATCATTGTAACTTCTGTATTGTTAGCCAGGCATGGCTGAAAGGTCAATATAATAAAAATATTAAATATATATATATATATATATATATATATATATATATATAATGTGTAATGTTATGAGACTTAAGCTATATAGTCTAAACATTTATGTTTTAGTGGTACAATTTGTTGTCATTCTAGAATGACAGAGGCATAATTTATATTTATTTCCTAATTTTTTATGGTAGTTACAAAATCAGTCAAATGTACCAAACCCGTACAGAGATTCGTTAGTGAAAATAACAGATGAAATATAAAGTTTTTTTTCTTAAGAAACATTTGATAACTATCTGAACATTATAAAGATTTTGCATGTGAAATTTGAAAATGTTCTGATGCATGAAAGTATTTTTAATCTTGAAATGAAAATTACTTTGCATATTGGATAGGCAACATGCAAAAAGAAAAAAAGGCATGAGAAAAACATTGCTTTACAAACCTTAAGACTTAATAAAAAAAATTGATATTTTGCATATGGAAGCATTGTAATGTTTACTGATAATCTGCCAAATTTCATTAACATGGGCTTACTAATTTAAAAGTTACAGCATGAAAACTATAACAAGTACAAAATAGTTACGAGGTGAGTCCCAAGGACCGAGCCAATGCTGAAAGAGTTAAACTTGTATTTGAATGTGAACGAGAGACCTAAAATAATCCTGTCAATATACAATGATAGTAAGTTACTGAAATTTTATACAATCTTATATTTTAAAAAGTGAACATAAAAACATCTGTGTTAAGACTCTCAAAAACTGGATTTTAATTCATCAAACATCATCCCTTTTATTTTAGTGACACTGTGTGTGAATTAGGTGGATCCTCAGAACTGGCTAACTATGGTGAATATTCTGGTGCTCCAAGTGAACAACAGACATATGAATATGCTAAAACTATCTTGAGCCTGATGACTAAAAAACCTCATCCAGATGGTAAGTTTTGATTCAAACTAGAGTAGTGAAACTTGGAATTAATGATGTGTACATTTAGATAAGATAGTTATTTACAGTTAAAAAAATATAAAATTTACTGTACACCTGTAGTGTTATACTGCATTAATTCCTTCAGTCCTACAGGTAATGTTTAACTCTCATGATTGTTCTTATAAGACCCTTAATTAATGCTAATAGAGTGGTGTTATTTTTGATGTGATTGTACTTAGTTAATTTTTTTGTGATAAGCAAAAGTTTCATCAAATAAGAAAACACTAAGCAAGGTTTTTCTTTGTTTTGTTAGTTTTGAATCTAAGAGAATTTTCACATGTTCAGAGAGCTCTTTGCAAAAATACCTAAAAAAAACATGGTGGGAGGGGGGGTTATTGCATTAGTATTGAATATACTTAAATTATACTTACTTACTGATATTGAGATTTTTTTCATGTTAGATATTACAGAATTATTGCTATTTATTAGAACTGATAGATGTATATGAAAATTTAACATCTAAAGAAAAGAAAATGCAACTAAACATCATCTTTTCTTGAATGCTTATGTATATTCCAGATAACTAGAAAAAACAAGCATTATAATGGTTAAAGGACAAATAAAACTTGGGTACAAACTACATTGTTGGAATGGTAATATATCTTAGCAAGAGAGGTATCTGCAGAAATAGCATCTACACAGTGGTGGATAATGGGATTTCACTGTTTAACAAACTGAATCTCTACTCCCAATCCTCACATTAAAAATTACTTTCTAACAAGAACAAAAAAAAAAATTAGGAACAAATATGAAGTTAAGGTAAGTTCATAATGTCCTATATCGAAAACTATCATTCACCATATACAACCAGTTATGGGAAGTTAGTTTATTACTCCAAAGTCAATGGAAAGGCAAGGAAAGAGAATTAAAAATGTGTATGAATAAATAAAAATTGGAGTGAAGAACAATGAAAGCCATCCTATGAAGTGATAAATTCTGCTTTTTAATGTTTGGTTTCAGAATCTTCATTGGCCATTCCAGAGGTAAGCTTTGATTAATGCCAAAAGTGAGGCCACTCATTTTAAAAATAGGGCCTCTGCAATCTTACCCAGCATCCTTCTTCTCAAGCTTTGCTGTCCCAGTACGTTTGATAACATAATTTGTAGAATATATAATTGAAGTATTCATTTATGTTTCACCACTTTTATGACACTTTGTATTCTGAATTGTAAAGTAAGAGTGTTTGCCTTGTATTAGTATTATGACAGGGCTTTAGCTATCAAACTCTCTACCCATAATTTCAAAGACTAGGTAGAACATGGATGGTCACTTAATTTAAAAGGATTGCCAACAGTTTTTTTTTTAACTATCCAAAATATGAGAATTATCATGAACCATGTTAGTGGTCCGTAATAGGGATCACAAGGAATTGCACAAAACTGTAATATAACATTCAGGCAAAAAAGTACCTTAAACAAAAATGGCTTGAATTCAAACTATTGACTGCAAAAGCTATACACATACAAAAATGCACCAAAAAAAGCACACATGTTAGATTACAACAAAAATGGCTTGCTATATTGCACCCAAATCTTTTATAGAATACTAAATGTGGTACTGCGTAGGTT